TCAGTTTTGGTATGTGACTTTCCTCTACAAAACATTTACTTGAGAAGCCAAATACAGACGGTCTCTTTCGTCTGAAACGAAATTCAGGGGATCAGAAAACTCTCCGTAGAGAGAATTTGATTATAGGGAACCTCTATTAATTGTACGAGAAATGGCTATACTGTATGGGACAAAATATCGTTATGCGGAGAAAATCGTTCGGGGCAAAATCGTTATATATGGAGTCTACACTTGTGCATTATTCAGTGTGTGGAGAGTTGAAAATGTATCGATTCCAGTGTTGCTTCAACCCAACGTCTTAGTATTTTGAATTTTTGGAAAGAAAACGCAACCGAAGAAACGTACCTGCTTCAGGATATGCTTTTTCTACGTTTTAAAAATACCAGATTTATGCTGATATGCATAGGAAACTATTTACCTACTGTTTTTCAGAAGAACTTTGAAAGGCAGAATCAAAAAGTTTGGTCCAGATTGATACCCATTGAATATTATTTCTATCTGAAAAATATATCATCAAAACTGCCTTGAAATTCAAAAAACTGCTGTCATATATCATACCTGTAAAGAGAAAAATTAATTCCAGAACTTTCATACTGCTTCTGAAAATATATATCGTTTTCAATATTTTTGTGAATGCCCTCATAATTTCAAAATTACTTTTTGTTGTCACGTATAGATTCCAGGAAATGTCGTGGAGCAAAACACTAACCAGCCGGAACTTATTCCGGAGTCGCTGTCAAGTAAATGGCGGGACAAAACATGCAAGAAGTGCAACAAGAAAGAAGACGACTGCATGTGTATTCCAACATCTTCCACTGAGCAAATCATTTTCCAAGATTTTCTAAAATGCGAGTCCTCCACTCCGATACTGACAAACGCACATGACACGAAAACTGAGACGATCCGAATCGCAAACGTTGGTGATGTGACATCTGGAAAATCGTCCGCTCCTCGAGTGAACATCAAGGTTCATTTCAAGAACAAGGAGCACGTTGGTTACCAAGATGCCGAAGGCAACCCTGCATTTTCCGCTGCGCCAATTGATCCTCCGAAGCGCCGAAGAGGTAGGCCTCCCACGAAGCACTTGACAGCGTTGGCGCAAAATCCGCAAAGCTCGAGAAATAAATCTCAGCACGGAAGTGCTGGCGACCAAATTCAGGCGTCCGTCTTGAAGAAGAAACCGAAGATTAGAGCCAGAAGTGTTGCAGATGTCCCTGTTGATGAGCCGAGTTGCAATTTCGTGGACACCATCGTCAATGATTCCGACAACGAAACGAAAGCTGTCGAAAGTGTGAAGGACTCACAGCAGCAGGGGAAAAATAGTCCTGCTGCGCAAAAAGAAACCCTTGCTCAAGTCGTACCTTCTGACTTGTCGTTCGAGGAAAGGATGGAGAAGTTCCCATCCATGCCTTGCCTGGACTTTGACGATGAGAATGCTGGAGTTTCTGTTATTTCAGAAGGTAAGGTTTTTGTGAATTACTATCAGTGTCTGAGGCTTTATTCCATAAAAATGTTTTTCTGTTGGATTAATATCCTCGAAGTAAAACGCATGCATGCAAGCTGTTTCAAACTGAGATTCTACAAAGAAAAAAATTAAAAATCTGAGGGTAGATCTTCTTTTCATGCAAAAAGTAAGTACGGCAGTTCGAAAAAATCAAGCGCAACCCGCTTTGAAGTTAGAAATGAATGTTCCATCCAACTTGGAATGTGCCAATGATGGACTCATTCGTTCATAGCTCAAATTGAAGAATTTTAAAAATCAATAATGCTGATGTCATAATGACAAGATGACTATTGCAGTTCGTAAGGGAAAGACTAGTCTGTATACACAGTTTGTATTTAAAAAAACAGCAAGTAAATCAATACAGGTATTCGAAACTTTTATGCTTCCTGAATAATTCGAGCTATCTCATCGAAAAAATCAAGTTAAGTCGATTACATTTTGAAATTACGCCCTGTTTTATGGCTCTATAGTTGCACTTTTACTCAGACCTGTTGGAAAGGATTCTGAATGTACGGTAAGTTATTCCACGTGCTTGTCTGATGTTTGGGGTTCCTGTGACAAATTGCCCCTAATTGTTCTGTGCATCTTTGAATGGTTACAAGTAGCCAACCAATAAAAAATATTTCCGAGTGTATATATGCTAGGTGATGGTTCAGAGTTTTCCGAAGAATTTTCCGACATATTTCGAACTGTGCTGGAGGCAGAAGGAAAACCACCCTACATGAAGCAGAATACTGCTTTTCAATTCAAAACCAACGGATCTTAAGTGTAAAAATCAGGAGGAAAACTATCTTTTACTGAATTTGCACCGATTGATAACCTTTAAATTTAGCCTGAGGATAACAATGAAAGTTGAACCAATTCCGTTACCGCGTTACTTATTCCCACCTTGCTGAACCAAAATAAAAAAAATAAATCATCCCCTTGACACGCATAAAACTCCAAGATATTTTTTTTCACATGTCTGAAGAACTGAACTTCATCATGATCATTTTTTATTCAGTCTTTAATGTGGCGCAGTGACGTGTATTTTATTTGGGAAGTAGAATCAGGTTGCGCGTATAGTTTGGTTCAAAAATGTTTAAGGCCGGTGCGTACAGATACTTTTGTCTGAAAGACGTGTGTTTTTCGCAGACGCGTCAACTCAAATGTTCGTTGCCAAAGAGAACTTGTCGACCCCAGAAAAACCGGTATCCAGTTGCACTGAGTATGAAGATGAACGAAAGAAGTCTGCTGCTAAACCACAGCAATGTTCTCCACCGGAAAAGAAGTCACCATGCCCGAAAATCGCAGAAGACTCTGCTGTTTTTAAAACTGCTGGTCCAACAGCGCTGGAGAAACCGGCTCTTATTCCCAGCAAAGCCTCGACTTCGGATATCAGAGATTTCCGGATGCACAAGAAACGCTTCGCTTCGTTTCCAGTGCCAGTGAAAAAAGCAGGCGCTGAACTCGTGAAGATCAGGCCAGCGGACCGGGTAATGAAAATCTCAGTGAAAAGCAATAGCGAAACTAGCAGCGTTCCTCCTCCAACTGTATCAGACAGCATTTCGGGAACTTGCCAACCCGCTCACGAAGAGAAGCAGTTGCATTTCGACACACTATCTGTTCACCCAGGTGATTTGAGGTCCTTTGAAACTTCCGATGCTGTTGCTGGTGACGTTATCAGCACTCCTGGATGCGCTGATCCGGAAAAAGTGCCTCATTCGACTGATCCGGAGAAAATGCATCCCTCGACGAAGCGTGGAAGTAATAAATCTGCTAAAATCTTTCGCCGTTCTGCGACCTCAAGCAAAAAAATTGCTTCGACAAAACGTCCCGGTCGCGCGGTTCCTTCGAATGAATCTTCAGCAAAGAAAAAAAGGGATATTCCTGTTGACGTGACGACAAAGCATCAGAAAGATGATCAATTTTTGATCACAGCATCAAGGATGAAACTGGAGAAGCCTGTTCGTCGGAGTTCGCCCACCAAAACGGTGCCATTCACGAGTGAGTCAAGCTTTTCCTGCTTTTCACTTATTTCTCGCGGCGAAATAAATTTCCGCGGAAAAGCATCGAAAAGTTCGAGGAAAACTTTTACTTCTGAACTGCACTCCAGAATTTGGAATCACAAAAAACGGTGTTATTTAAAAAAAAGCTTGAAAAAGCTTTCATTGCCATATTTCCTGTGTCTATAACGCTGAATCGCAGGGATAAAATAATCGCTGACAATCGAACCTTTTTTTTTTTTACGTATAACGCATTATTGTATTATTGGTTCCTCACCATAGTCACCGATAATATAATATGCGTTTTACCTGGAAATTTTAGAGTTAAGGCGAAACAAAGAAATCAACTAAACTTGGTAGTATAATAGTTATATTGATTCCTCTCAATCCCTAAAATTTTTCTCCGCAGTCGATGTACTAATCAACCATTTTGACCGCCGAACGAATATATTATGATTTTGGCGGCTTTTGAAGGCTTTCCGTATTAGTTGTCGTAAGTTCTTCGTAAATTTTAGGGGTTTTCTGCTGCTTCGGTTCCCATTTGTGATTGAGTTAAAGTTCAAGTAAGAATGCCGATTCAATGTGGAGGAAATTGGCATTTCAAACCATAAAAGAAAACCTAGATTTTTTCAAAGTGTTTAATCATCGCTTCCCAATATTTGGGAAGTAATAAGATTCCCAGCTTATCAGTTTTCTGGGGAAAATTCCAAATATCTTACCTAGACGAGGACTGATTCAGTCAATATTGTTGTAGACAATAACTTTTGTAATTTTTTGTTCGCGTCTCGTATACAGCAGTAAAATAAAATTTTTTTGGTGCCTGAAATAATTTTGAGAACCTCCGCATATATACATTTGATCTAATCGAATGAAAGTACAGTATGATGGCATATTCATTCGGTTTTAAAACTTTGTTCAATATTCCTGCAGAAATTTCTTGCACCTCTGCCTCGAAGAAAATCTTGCCGAGAAAACAGTGCGTTCCAACGGCGGCAGCAGAGGAAAACAACTTTTCCGATGCATCGGACTCATCCGGAAACTCCGCCTGTGAATTGAAATCCCTCTATAAATGCTCAACAATGCGAGAAAAGCAGAAAATGCTGCGGATAAGAGAACAGCAGTATTACGTCAGAAGATCGAGTTGTTCTGTCGTAAACAAGAAAACTCGAATGTATCTATCATCAGGTGCGCTACGAACTTATACAAAAGCGAGAAACTCCTCTCTGTCGGCGGAAGAAGGAGTGTCGGATTCACCCGCTGAAGAATTAATTATTGAATCAGTTCCAACTGAGGAAAGAGAAGAATTTGATGAGATTTTGGCAGCCGAGAACAATAACGTGGATGATACGGTTCCCGAACCAAGTGCAGAAGTTGAAATCATGTGTGAAGATACCACATTTTTCGACAAGCACTGGTCAGACGCTAGTGACTCTGCTGTTGTTTCCCCCGACGGAGATCGTGTGTCTCATCCTGAAGATAAAAACACCCGAAGTTACAGACCAGATAATGACTTTCTGGCTGAAAAAAGCATTTCATTGATGGTGGAAAAAAATATTCCGGATGTCACTGAGCAAAGCAGACCATCGTATGAAAGGATTATGTTTGTTCCCAGTTCATCTCGACTTATGAGAAATTCACCGATGGAAATTCCTGATAACGTAAAACGAGTGGAAACTTTTCAGCAAATGAACAAAAATTCGTCTTCAACGATTGATGCTGAAGTAAAACTTGCGTGTACCCCACTTAAAACATACTCGCGCTCGAATAAGAAGCATACTGTTTGCGAAATCCGAAAAACTTACGCAAAAGAAAGCGAACAGAATAAAAGTTGCGACGATGTCTCAGTTTCTAAGGAAGTTTCACCCCCTCCGAAGGCCGAAGAATCCGTGATAATACGGGAAACCTTTAAGCAAGATTTAACAAAAATTCATGAATCATCGTCGACTGATCCGGATCCTTCCGAGAAAGGTGCTGCTGAACATCCATGTGCTGGAGCTGTTGAAATTCAAGCATTATTGGACTGTAATGAAGACATTTCCCATAGCATTCCGGCGAATGATAGCTCCAAAATAATAGAAAGAACTTCGCAGAATGAAAATAATGGAGAAGGTGCTCAGTTCAATCCGTTGACGCCCATGAACAAAATTGTAGATCTTTGTGTGAGAAATACTGTTACAAAGCGTGAGAAAGTGGAGAAAGGGGAAAACCATTTATCGGCTGCTGCTGAAACTCCGCATAAAATTCGACCCCAGGAACTTCTCAATGACACGAAAGCAAATTTACTCACCCTGTCAGCTATAAATCATCCAACCCTCGCGTCATCGAAGCAGAATGCAAACTTGCTGGGAAAGAAACACTTGTCAGTTGCTCGAGCAGCCGGTAAATCAACGCCAGTCGCTTCTAAAATGGTTCCAATTAACTCGAAGGCTTTGAAAGTTCGCGAGAAAACTTCGGAGCGGAAAATTGGCTGCCCAAGTTCCTCGAAAGGTCAGTCAAGCGTGACGGCTATAGGCATGGCGACATCCCTTGAGGAGCTCGAAGCTATGGCCAAGAAGCGAGCTGCTTCTAAAATAGCTCATCAGAAAGGGAAGGTTTTTGATAAGAAACCAAAAGGAAAAGTATTGGTATCGATGAAGATGCCATTAATGAAATTTGACCCCGAATTCTCCGAAAATCGAAAGAAAAACCCAGAAACCACGGATAAGAGGATCGCGAAAAACGGAAGTTAAGTGGCTTCTGGAAGAAAGGATACATCCAAAGCTGAGCGACGAAAAAAATTGCAAATGAAAATGATGATGACGAGATCACGAGGGCAGCTGGGATTATTTTATGAATTTATTTCCTGCTTGTTGAATTTTTCCGGCCGATGCTTTAAATTTTCATGACAATAAATAAAAATGTTAAAAAAATCATATTTTGAAGATGTTCGGAAAGCTGTTCTCCCGCAATATTGAACTGTATCCAAATTCCAAATACAGTAGTAAAATACTGTACTGTACTGTAGTTGGAAAAAGAATTGTAGAGAAACAGACACCAAGGCTTCCGCAGTCACATACAACTTCTATTTTACTGCGTTATAAATATTTTCAAATTCGAATAAAAATTGCCGCTGGATGGGGACCATGTCTAAATAAAAATGATAAAATAGTTTAAATAAAAGTTCAGCAAATCCAAATCTTGTTTCAATTCACTGAAGCGTGTCACCTTCCCAATTCATAGTAAAGCACTGCGTTATGCAAAATGCAATAATTTGTTTTTCAACTGTATTCAGGAAATACATCCACTACAAAATAAACTTCTACGAATTGCATGCGAGTCAATAGAAGCCAGAATACACGACAGTTTTCGATAGTCCAACGTCTTTGCTGAATTGCACCATTTGCAGCTTATTTTCCATGCCCGAAACGGTGGCTTCACATCTGGTCTCCTAGTCTGGTGGGAAGGAGGGCGACCAAACGTTATGGTACACTTTCAAACTCAACGCCCTTCACTTCCACCCTACCTCTCTAGAGGGCTGATCCCTTCCACTCCATTCTTGAATGCCATGAATGAGTGACTTCATGAATTGCGCATGGTTGCAGATAGGTATTATATGCTGAACAGTGTAGGAAGATAATGTAATATTCAATACATGAACTTGGAGCATTCTTATTGTTTTATACTTGTTATTTTATGATTAGTATTAAGTTGTGGCCAAAAATGGTTAACAATTTCAAAGGTATTCCAATGCTACCACTGATTTGTGCAAATAACTTCCAAACATGGCCAGAAAAGCATTGTTTTTTCTTGGAATTAATTCCACTCCAAAGGCTCAATGCTGTAGTAATAAATGTGAATGCATGACTTGTTTTCTGGTGAATCTGTATATTAGAGTAAGTTATTCACACATTTAAATGCCAAACGCAATTAGAAATGTAGACAAAAAGAGTTTGATTCCCAATTTCATTCAAACCATCAATAATGTATAGAAGTATACATTTTTAAACATACCAAGACACACATGCTCTTGGTATGCTCTTGGTACAATAACACACATGTTATTTGTCCCTTGGAGTCTCCCTATACATGTTATACCACCAGAAATTGCAGTTGAAGTCTCTCAATGAGAGGCTGGCGCTCCTAAGGGTGGCGTGGAAGACGTAGGGTTGAGTGGAAGTTGTACCATGATGTCGCGTCACGCCTTTGAGCACCTCCGAAATGCGGGAGTAGTTGAGGAGTCGAACTCGGAGATAAATTCTGTGTGGAGATACTGTACATCCCTTTCGTTGTTTCAATTTTAATGTAGTGTGATGATGTTTGGCATTTTTCGCACGAGAATTCCAGCAGTTTTGAATGGCTTTTCATGGATGCATGAGAAGATTTATTTTATTATCTGTCTGCTGAAGTTTGTGAACAATTGACGCTTGCTTACGCTACTAAATCAGGTGTTCGCTATACTGTGCTCCGTACGGTTTCATTTTTTATCGCATTTGTTCCGTAAGTGTGAGCTTCTTTATTAGATTCATAGATTTAATTCGTCATGTGATCCTCTACATTTTCAAATAGGGAGTTCGTAGTATTTGTGATTGACTTTTCTCTTCAAAAATCTTCGGTAGAATTTGTAGCATGAAATGTTTCAACAAAGGGATTTCGTTGCTAGCCCGCGAATATGTGATCAAATTGATATACGGAGATTGGCTTCTGTCCAAAATTACTGCACGTTTTCGGCGAATCCAGTTCGTCTGCTTCCTTGACATCTGGCGATAATGAAAGACTGTTGATTTTTTTATCTTGAAAGTTTTCCTATACTTCATGGCTAGGCTGCCGTTCTTGCAACGTGAGTGATGAATGGATAGTTTTGAAATCAACCGGCTGAACAGGATTTCGGATTCGAATTATTCTGGTATTGTGCACATGGCTATGGAGGAGCTTCCTTTGTGGGACGATTTTAATGGATCATGTGGAATGAGAGATAGTTGTAAGATCAATTCTGCTCCAGGATTTTTCGTAAGCTCAGAGGTTCAATTGCCCTTCACGAAATTCATTGGCACTTGCTCGCTCTTCAATCGAGAAGAAAAACGTGATTTATTTGAATCATATTATTACCGAGTTCAATAGTAGCTCTGGTGGTTCGCGCTGTTTTTCTGTGCTATCTGGTTTTTTTTTTTTTTTTTTAACTGTGAGCATCTCATTTCTGTGGGATTTACGCTTGTGTGTTGGGATTTTGAATTGGATCTGCGCGCCGCGCTTCAGCCTTCTGACGTTCACCGAGCTAGGCGGATAGCTTGTCAGATGCGAACGGTGTGTTGCCGCGGAAGGTTCTCGAGTCACCGCGTTTCTTAATTCCATCAAGGTGTCGAGGAAGTGGGAATCGTGACAAAAATTAAACTTCTCACCTTGCATTCTTTATGAAATCTAAAAGTACAGGATCATTCACAAGAAATGTTAAAACACAAAAAATGTGCACAATTTTGTTCCCTAATGTTATTTGAAACTTTCACTAATCGTAAGTGTCTTTTTTTTTTAGGAAAGCTTGCATCCTCAGTCCTCTTTTCAGAATTTAAATTATATAAGTTCGTAATTTTGTAAGCTAATTTAATTTCCTCCTGCGAGAAGGGAACTCCTTATGAACAGTACCAACCCTTATTTGTGTCTCGAAGACTGCAGTGGGTAAGGCGAGCCTGAAATATATTCGCTGTTATCGTGTCTGGTTCTGTTTACGATGTGCAGTAAATTGCCAGACAACCTTGTCTAGTGTTGGCAGTGGGTTCACCCGTATCGAACCTTTGCAGGCAGACGCCACTAGTGATTTTGGGCGATAAAATGCCACGTTGCCCCGTGAGCCACCCACGCGAGACAAGCTGAAGATAGGATGTGGCAGCTTTACGTCTTTCGGAAGGACATAGTCGAGGGCAGGAATTGAATTTATTGCGCTCTTATTAGGCTGTAAGATATTCCGTGAGTCTGCTCGAGTGAATCCAATGAAACGTTCGGTTCTCCGGTGTAAATTTGTCCCAATGTTTTGGTGTGCCGATCTGTAACCGTGAATACGATATGTGATTGTTAGTGGGTAACTTGCGCATGAAATCAGTAAGAACTGAATTTCATTGGTGAGGATTATTTTTGTTTTGTTTTAATTAAGATGTTGGCTTTACGTTTTGGAAATCTGTCCAGCTGAGTCAGTTAGCTGTCATGTTAACGTACAGTAATTTGAAACTAGGTTAGTGTGAGGATGTTATTTCTGCCGGTTAGGTGAGTCATAATAGATTGAAATGAGGCTTGGACGGCTTTAAAAACGGATTATCAAATTCGTGATTCCGAAATTAAATTGGTAAAAAGAAATTGATAAAGAAAAGATTAAACTCGCTTGCGTGGGTCTCCTAGTTCGGTACTTGAATCTTTCAACCAGGATTGATGGCAATTCATCTGGCAATCTCCACGAGCCATTGAATCATTTTCTGACGAGCGCCGATTGTCGATCAGACACATTTAAGTGGTGGGCTTATCGCTTTAAGTGATTACGGTGCCAGAAAAGTATCGCTCATTAAACTCGCTGTGAAGCTTTTTAATCCATCAGTTCGTAATATCTCATTTGGCTATATTTCCTCGCGTTTATGTCTTTTCTTTATTCCATGGAAAACTTTCGCCTGTATTTTGCTAAATGCAATCATTTTTTATCTGCAGATTCTAAGTTTTTATTTATTTATTTTGTCGGATATCCGCGTTTCCTGGCTGTGTATACGTCGGGTGTGAGGACTAGTGCTGGGCTTGTGGCCTATAGTGACAGTTTCTGTCCCAAGATCCACGGCAGTGTGGCAAGATGCCGGTGTTCCACACGAAGACAATCGAAAGCATCCTTGAGCCTGTTGCTCTGCAGGTTAGCCATTTGGTTGTTTTAATGCTGCACTGTACTATATTATGATAACTCGTTTACCCGAAGCCTAAATGCCATCGATTCCAGAACACGTGTTAATTAAAATGCCACGTTAGAACTTCATCTACCATTGGGGAAGAAATTTGGTTGGGATATCGAAGGCGCACGTGTTTCACCATGCAACTCATAGCCGTATTCCACCAAATAGACCGAAAATTCCCCCCTTTTTTAGTTATAAAAAAGTTTCTTGAAAAACATGGAGTATCGTGACAACCGGTGAATTAAGGATAAAAGTTTGCTAATCTTTTGAATCAACCTTATCGACTTGAAAGGTTGACACTACACTGTCTACAGTATATATTTTTCGACAAGAGTTCTCACGTAGACACTTGGAATCGTCAGCTTCCTGGTCCACATCACGAAAAAAACCTCGATGATGGATGTAATTTTTCTTTGTTAATGAAATGCAAATGTGGGGCAGGATGAAAATGTACTCGGAGGAGAAACAACGAAGAGAAAAAGCCCGTAGCGAAAAGCACTTAATCGAAGAAACGAATGGCAAAGCAATTGCAAAACTCGACCTGCGAAAGATTTTTCCATGTGCTTTATATATGGTATCCTGTTCGAATCATTTTTCAGCATATGGAAACATGATGTTCAAGATCGGGAATGCTTTTTAGATTTGAGATAGACAATCGCCGAAGAGAAACAGTTTTACGTTAATGGATTTCCTGAAGGTTATGTTGTAATGGTAATGTAATCTACATCTTATTCTGTATTATGAAGTACTGTACGTGTGAAAATGAAAAAGAGAAGTTGTTCCCGAGTCACACCTGGTCTTCGGAGGATTTTGTTGTGTGCTTAATTACTCCATTGAATTTTTATTGTAGGTGCTAATAAATAGTGCTTACCTCCCAAGAACTCCGAATCATCTAATACAGTAATTGAATACTGTAGAAACATATTTTGGACTAATTCATATTCATCAAGTATGACTTCGCATGCTATCTTGAGGCGCCATCAATTCTGCGACTGATCGTGATTTTTCGTGAGTCTGAGTT